TAATTTCCATGTGCTAGGCACTGTTCCAAGCATTTTCTAGATGCACTAACCCATTTATTCTTCAAAAACCTATAAGGGAGGCATTATTGCATCTGTTTTAATAATAAGGAGAATGACACACAATGAGGTTGATAGATTTGTTCACAGTCACACACGCAGAAACAGGAAAAGCTAGGATTTGCAGTCAGACTCTGCAATTCCACTCTGCTCTCTTAGCCATTTAGTCTATGCTGCCTTTCAACTTAGGAGAAATCAAGCAACTTTGAGAACTCTGTTATCTCTAGGGCTACTGGAAGATATAGCCTTTGTGATGACTCTGCTTCTAGGGACTAGATATGGGACTCTGAGAAGCCATGGCCCCATTTTTAATGATGAGTTTGGATCCATTAGCCACATCACCATTGAAAGACTAGACTGTTGGTATGCACACCAAGCATTTACTGGTTGCTTTACCCTGTGCCTTCTGAAACGCAACCTTGAATGGGTTTGTGCTCACAATAGAGTTTAATAAAAGTATTGTTCATTTTTCTGGGTAATTGCTTCACACGTGGCAGGTGGAGATCTCACAATGACTTTCTCTGTGCTTGATCTTCCATTTTCCCTCAAAAACTCTTTCACTGTTTGCCATGCTTCTGCTGGTTTCAACTCATTTCTTTGAAAATATGGTGATACCAACCCCCACCCCAATGATTCATGTCTTTTTAAAATGATGATGAGAGTGACTATATAATTTTCCCACTAAACCAGACATTTCAGAAATCAAGATATGAAGTTGTAATAATTGTGCCTGGCAGATAAAAGGAGAAAGACAATAAAACTAGGTTAGCCTAGATAAATTGGACCTTATGGCCACCGTATTTCTGCTGTCTTATGTGGTTCAGAAGTGATTACACACTGGCATAATTTTCCGTTGGGGATCTATCTTTGTGGGTATATCAGAATCTCCTTGTACGCAAAGTTTTTTTGTTTGAGAGAGAGAGAGAGAAGAGTTTGCTTCTTCTCAAGCAAACCAGAGATTAATGGAAGTTGTGGAAGTTATAAACAGTCTGAATTTCAGCCTAGCTTTTGACCATTTTTCAAATACTTGTTCTCCATTTCTCCCATTACCAGAAAGCCAAGCCATTCCAGCCCCATAGGGTACCACTCAGAGTATAATTGAGATTTGAATGAACAACACATGTGGCTTTTAAGGTTAAATGAATATTGTTTGACATACAGTACACTAAAGTTGTTTTTCATTTTGGTCTAAAAAATTGGTTAAAATTACATCTTGTTGCTTCTCGGAATTAGTTAGAATCCATCTGTCTCCATTAGAATCACTGTTCTTTTTTTCAAAGCCATGGTTGAAAGAAAAAAGTTCCATATCACTCCAGACAAATTTCCAGAGAGTCGGGAAAATGAAACAGTTTTTAGGGTATTGGTGCCTATTTTCCTCGCAATATAATAGCTAAGATTATGAATGGATATGCAGTATCTATATTTAGCTATTCAAACATACACTACCTTGGTCTAGAGAGCTACTTTTAGACATACAAAATATGAGCATGTAAAATAATTTTTTCAGTATGTCGATGATGACTTCAATTAAAGAGGTTCGCTGAAGTGTCGAGACCCTCAGCAGCTATTTATTAAAGTGGTCAGACTTGTGTAATGTAACTCTGATGGCTTTCAAATCTCAAAGTTGACTGAAATACTAGCAGTCCCTAGTATATGTAGTATATATTATTTGTAGATTATGTAATTATATATTATGTATTAATAACATATAGAATGCATACATTAAATAGTATCTCTCCCCTTTCTCTCCCTCTCTCTACTCTCTCTCTCTCTCTGTGTGTATACCAGAAATAATAGCTCCAGTAACTTTTTAAGTTGTTAAGATACTTCATATTATGCATATGTATCTGTCTGCAAGTACTCGGATTTGCAAATAGAAGGCTATGACACATTCATCTGACTTTGTGTTACAGGATATTAATCTTCTGCTGCCATGCTTGACACTGTCTTACCTCATTTGCGGTGCTGTCTTAGGTTTCTGCCTGTTTCTGATTACATGCTTCTGTAATGCTTCTGCCGTTTGACTGGACTCTAAGTGTTTAAAGGCTCTTTAATGAGGAACCTGTTCAAAACTCAAGTACCTACCTATAATAAACTGAGCTATGATGTCTAGGCTAAGAAACCGCTTGTTTGCTATTATCAGTTAGGAAATCTTTTAAAGTGAACATGATGAAGAAAACTGCTCTGTGATTCTTCTTTTGTAATTTCCTCTCTCTCTTCAGCTACTCAGATCTGGTTTGGAGCTGTATCATGTAGCTTCATTACATTTCATTTTACCATTTACCTGTAAATCACTTTCTAGTTTCTAATTGTCTTCCTGGTCTACTTTCATTTGGCTCAGACCACTACCAACTAAAACAGGGCACACAAATCTCAGTTGATCCCTACTGCGTCCTGCCAAGGACGCTGAACACCTCTTTAGATTCTCAAGCTGACAATGATTTTATACTGTTTTCTTCTCTGCCTTCATCCTCTGTGGTCATATCTACCATCAGTCTTAACATTTGCTTTTGCTCTGCAGCATGGCCTGTCACCTGTTACCATAGCTGCCTCGTGGTTAGACTCAAGATTTAGTGGTCCCCAGCTAGGATACACTCTGCTGTCAGAAGACCCTTCCTTGGGTATCATTTGCACCCTAGGACTCTCTACCTAAAAATTAATAATGGGATGAAATGTGAAGTCTTCGTTGCTCTTGATGCCCCAAAATAATTTACAACCCCTCTTAACCTCAAAAACACCCTACTCTGACCCTCCTTCTCCTCCCTCACCCCTTCTCTCCAATCAGTTACCAGCCCCATATTTTCACAATCTAAAATTTCTATTCAAACAATACCTGATTTCTTCGTGCTTACTTCCTTTTGGCTTGCTATTTCCAAAGTGCTGCTTCTTTGCACATGTCACTCATTTCAGCTGAGGTACTCTGTCCACACCAGCAGTGTCTCTGTAAGCATCTACCTCTAAAATAAAATTTAAAATGCTTTCCCTGTGATTCATCTTCCCAACTCAATATGGCTTAAGCATATATATTCCATTTGTGGTTTTCTTTTTACGGTTGCCAGCCTTCATGTTTTAAAACTGCATCTTAAACTGATATCCAGTCACTTCCAAATTCAATGCAAACATCTTGAGGGCATAGGATCCAGCATGATTTGTCTCACTTACCATAGTATCAATATTTCCACTTATGTAGCATTCAACACTTGCTATTTGACTCCTCAACATTATGTCCTGTCATAGCCAACTCTCACTGTAGCTAGTCAGAGTTTTCACCTCGGTCTTCAGATAGTCTTTGCCTATCATCTTCACCCACATAGGAAGAAAACTATTCTTCCAGCCACACACAATTTGGTATTTTTACTGCAGTTTAATTCAGTTAAATACATATTAAGTCACTGATTGTACCCAGCAATATACCAGCTGTTCCAGCCCAGTTATTTTTAAATTTCTGTATGCTTCCAAGTCCATTGAAGAGCTCATCAAAACCTAAGCCTTTACCCCATAGTTTCCAAAACTTCTTAAAAATTAACCAATTTATTTTTATTTTTGATCAACTGATGAATACCCATATCTTTTGAATGCTTATGTCTCCCAAAATCTTTAACAGAAAATCTTTCTCTTAGAAGCAGTTACTCTAAGTTGGGTGTGGTGATGCATAGCTTTAATGTCAGCTTAGGGCAGAAGGAAAGACAGTAAGCTCTAGAACAAACTGGGATACATAGTGAGTTCCAGTTTAGCCACAACTACACAGAAGGACTCTGTCTTAGAACAAAACAGCAGCTATTCTGGAAGACTTCAATAATAGTAATTTACTGTTCAAAGAGTGGATCATATAGACCTAGACCAGTAGTTCTCGACCTTCCTAATGCTGTGACTCGTTAAAACAGTTCTTCGTGTTGTGGTGATCCCCCCAACCAGCCATAAAATTATTCTTGTTACTACTTCATAACTGTAATTTTGCAACTATTACGATCATAACATAGTGTTTTCTGAAGGTCTTAGGCAACCCCTGTGATGGGGTCATTCAATCCCCCAAAGGAGTCATGACTTAGTTGAGAACTACTGACCTAGACAAAGGTGTGTCAGATCAAAATTAAAGACAGTGCTATGCTATTTTATTACTATAACTCTGAAATATGAAATGTGGCTTGAGAACCCCCTAAAGCATTATTTTTTTTACTTGGGATTGCTTTGGCTTCCATGTGAATTTTAGAATTTTTTCTGATCTATTTATCTATGTATACATGTTTATGTGTTTGTGTTTATGTGTGTGTGTGTGTGTGTGTGTGTGCAACAATAGTAACTAAAGAAGAGATCATGAATTAGAGTGAATGATGAGGGACATGGGAGAAATTGGAAGAGTAGGCAGGTGTGAAACTAACCATAGTAAATAGAGCACTCATATATGAGTTAATAAAACTGTAAAAGAAAAAGTAAAAAAGACAGCATCTTGGATATTTCTTGCACAAACACTCTAACCATAGCAAGTTTAGCTTTTACTTTTAAATCAATTCATAGCTTCTCAGAGACATAATTGTGGACTTAAATCTTGACCAATGAAAACTTTAAAATTCATTGTTTAAGGATAGTATAAACACACATTAAATACGATCTGTAAAATACTTAGCTGTCACTGGAATAAAATAAGCGAAAGTGATGATGGCTATATTAAGGTAAAAAGCTATTATTTTCCCCTTTAAATTCCAAATTCTGGATAATGTTACCAGTTGATCTATTTAGAAACTGATAACTTTCTTCTGAGTTGTTTTGAATCATAAGACCCACCCAGAGAAATAGTTCAATGCTGTTTCTTGAAGGGTAGCCACAAGAGCTAAAATGCCTTGAGAACATTAGAAACATAGTTCCAAAAATGTGGCTGGGTCAAAAGGGTAATATTTTCCCTTCTATGTATGTTTTATTCTTTTTTATTTCTTTTTAATAAACAGGGGATGGAGAATTGTCATGGGAACATTCTGATGGTGATATCTTCCGGCAACCTGCCAACAGAGAAGCAGTAAGTGTGAAGAGCTCCAAGATTTCCACACTCTACAGCAGCAAGCCAAGCCTTTTCCCCCCCATGGAAAAAGTCTCACTCAAATCCAAAAGTGGACCCATTTCTAACATCACTTTCTTTTCCTTCCTCAGAAAAAACAAACAATGTCATCACCAGCCTCTAAATATTTATTGTCTCTAATTAGTGCAAGAACATGAACGAAGAGCAACCATAGCCTTTTGTCTAGATCAGAAGTTGGTACTCTTTTTGGGTGACCTGACAATTCTGTATGTTCTGTCTAAGGAAGACAGTCACCACCCGTTTTCTCAACAGTAAATGCTTTCTATGTGATTTTAACATAGTCCACTTCACTGGTTAGATTCCTTATTCCTTATAAACCTGAGAGCTCTTGATCATGCAGTTGAAAGAAAAACAAAGATTGTGGGCCAGATTCTCCTCCCTTTACCCTTATTTCTGTTGCTAGCACAAATTTTAGAATAAATCTAACAAGTAGGTCTCTCTCTCTCACACACACACTCTCTCTCTCCTCCCTCTCTCCACACACACACAATATATATATATATATATATATATATATATATATATATATATATAATCGATTAGCAAAATAGAACATCTCCAAGTATGAATGTAGTTATTCTTCAAACATCTTAACATTTGAAAAGGTTTATAAAAGTGTTTCCAAGTACAAGGGTGTTTGTCATTTCACACAAAATGCACCTGCTGAATAAGAACGATTTTTAAAATGTCATTGCAGCATTGTTTTCATAAGTTTAACAAATTAGCATAAATATTTATCAATATAGGCTTGACTCTATATGCTCAATTATTGGGATACTTGCAGTTATTAATAAAAATATAACACGAGTTGACAGATGGCTCAACAGGCACTTGGCTACCAAGCTTGAGTCCTATCTCCAGGATCAACCTGGTGAAAGGAAAGAACCAACTCAAGTTTTTCTCTGACCTCCACACATAGCCATACCATTGTACATGTATGGTCATACACCCCCCCACACACACACATACACATTTGCACGCATGCACACACACATGCATGCAATACAATAAAAATAAATAAGTATATTATTTTAAAAGCAAAATTGTATCTATATATAGAAATACAGAAAGAAAAACTCAAAACAATAAAATGAATGTAAAATGTGTGTGTGCTTTTATAAATGTATAAATGAGAACTATCTCAAAGGTCCTATATCAGCATAGTAAGAATAGTACTAAAGGGACAGAAGTAGATATGAGGAAAAGTAGGCTTTGACTTCTTAACTTAATCTTCTGTGTGACTTCATATTTTTCCATTGTGTGAATGAATTTAATAATAAAATTACATGATTTTGTCAAACCTTAGAATCTGGAAATAAGTCAGGAGACTAGATAATTATAGAGCAGGCTATTTTCATAAATACAGAGGGCATGATGACAGAGTTCCCAGACTTTGCTATTGAATGACAGATGCAAGCATCACCATGTCACTTAGGTAGGCTAGGATTCACTGTCGCAGAGGCTAGTTCTGACTTGCACAACCCATCTTGCCAACACCAACCAAAAGTTTCAGCAGTGGTAGTACATGGTTTCAGTTTGCTTTACTACTTGGCAGTATTGCTTTCTGAACACTGCTATTTCGTAATTAGTGTAGAATTGTGCACAAGCTGGAAAACAACACCAGGCACCTCACAAAAGCAACATTTATTTCACAAGAGAGATTGAATTCTCACAATCAGGGAAAATTTTTCATCATTCCCCTATGTCTGATTTAGAGTGAGATTCTGTACAGATCCTAACAAGACATGGTAGCAGTCTTAGTTTTCCATGCTGTAAGTTTCCTCTTTTCCTCAACCAGTTTTTTTTTGTTTTGGTAAGAAGTTGAAAGCACCTGCATTAATGACTGTCAGCTAGATGTCATTCAAAACTTCAGCCCCAGTCACCTTATGCTATTCAGCTTCCACAGTAAGCACTGAGACCACTCCAGTGGGCTTGCTGGTAAATGTCATTCATGTTTTTCCTTCTTTTCTTCCTTTTATGCTCTTCAGAAGCCCCATATCAGCCTCATTATTCCTCCTAAACATCCCTAAGGGATGATTTAATCTAGGATTGTAGCAAGAAGAGCAGGCATTTGTGACTGGTAGACCACAATGCCTAGATGGTTCCACTTTATTGTAAGTAAATATTTTCCTTTGTTCTAAGGTAGATTGATATTATAGAATATGAATTTCATAATGCACAGCATTTATACTAATGGAAAAGTGTGTACCTAGCACAGAGTAGACACCCAGTAAAAAACATACATTGATTGAAGGGGTATATAATGTATAATGAATTATATATGAGGATGGACTCTGAGTTTCGTTCCCCACCCCCTTTAAATGACATTAGATTTACCACTAGGATGGCAAAAAACTTGGCATATACCTTAGTTGGAGTTACTATGGTTGTGATGAAACACCATGACCAAGAAACTTGGGAAGGAAAGGTTTTATTTAGATTACACTTCAGGATTATTGCTCACCACCAAAGGAAGTCAGGACAGGAACTCTATCAAGGCAGAAACCTGGAGGCAGGAGCTGATGCAGAGGCTGTGGAGGAGTGCATCTCACTGGCTTGCTCCCCAAGGCTTGTTCAGTCTGCTTTGTTATAGAACCCAGGTCCACCAACCCAGGGAGAGCACCACCTGCGATGGGCAGGGCCCTTCCACATCAATCATTAATTAATAAAATACCCTACAGGTTTGCCTACAGCCCATTCTTACTGAGGCATTTTCTCGGTTGAAACTCCCTCCTCTCCAATGACACTCGTTTGTGTAAAGTTAACATAAAACTGGCCAGGATAGTATAGAAATAACATGAAACAGATCAAAAACTACTTGTCAGTCACATTGTCAGAAAACAATGTCAGAGTGCCCACTCTAGCTGTATAAAATTTTAGTGAAAGGTATAGACTTTGGGGCTCTTTAATTCCAGTATAAAATCCTCCTAGTTTTGAATTTTTATAATAAAGCCAGTTAAAAATTGTTTGGTAAGAGAGACTGGCCTAACAATTCTTCTAACTAGGGACTATAGACTAGTAGTGACTAAGATATAATCATTTTGTGGCTGTGTGGATTATAATACATTCTGAAGACACATTTCTTTTTCCTTTCAGATAACTATAGTTTACTTACAATTATAAGAAATAATACAGAGAGGTCCTATATGTCCTCTACCCAGTTTCCTCCAATGGTAATATCCCACAAATCCACCGTAAAACATTAGAGCCAAAAAATGACCTTTGAAGATTCTTTTGAGACCCTAATGTTTTCTTTTTCTAACAATAAAATCATTATCCCTTTTTTAGAGATTTTATTTACATCTTTAATTATCTCTATGAATGTATGTGGGAAGGGGTATGCATATGAATGCAATACCCATAGAGGCCAGGAAAGGGTATCAGATATAATAGACCTTGGGTAACAGACATATGTGAACCATTAGACAGAGTTACTGGGAACCAAAATCAGCTCCTCTCCATTATTCTCTCTCTAAAAATTCACTACTAGCCAGGTGGTGGTGGTGCACGCCTTTAATCCCAGCGCTTGGGAAGGGAGAGGCAGTCGGATCTCTATGAGTTTGAAGCCAGCCTGGTCTACAAAAGCTAGTTCCAGGACAGCCTCCAAAGTCACAGACAAACCCCGTCTCGAAAAACCAAAAAAAAATGAAATTCACTAATATGTATAATTTTATCAGTGCCATGTAGTATTTCAATAATGTATACACTGCATAATGTTAAAATTATGTTGAACATATCTATCTCCTCACAATTTGTGTGTGGTGAAAGTTTTCAATATTCTTCTAGATGTGTTCAATATGTACTCCATTATTATTATATATAATCAGTAGTATGGCAGAACTTCTTGCTGCTAAGTAAGACTTAGTGATCACCTTTGTCCCATCCCTTCCCCCTCACTACTTTTGCCTGGCACCACATTGTACATTTGATCAACTCTTTAGATTCTTATATGAGTGAAACCATGCAAACCCCTCATCTTTTAAACACAAGATCAAGGAAAGAAGGAGTTTATGAGGAGCTTCTGCAATGGAGGCCTTTCTCCCAACAGAAAAATAATTGTTTTAAACCTAACTCAAAAACTGAACAAAGTTTTCAGACCTTCAAATTAGTACGTCAGAAATACCAAAATTACATTTCAAGCGAACCTTTTTTGCTTTGTCTTTCTTCTCCACTCAGACGGCCTTTTTACAACTAATTTCTAAGATAAGCTCTGAATTCACTTGCAGTTCTAAAGTCTTAAAGCCTTTTTTTCTGTACTCAAATTTATGAAGTAGATTGGACTCTGAGTTTTTTTTATTTGATCAGAAGAGGAACTCCGAAACAGCCACTATACAGACAAAGCAAGTTACATATACGAATAAATGTGTATGCACATAGATTTTCGCATGCAGAGACAATTAATGAAAACAAACTATAAATTAGACAAGGATCAAAGAAGAGCTTAGAGGAGGGTTTGAGGGGAAGAAAGGGGGAAAACTACAATTTTAATATAATCTCAAATGATATAAAAAGTAAAAACCTTTTACACATCCATCACTTCTCAATCTCTTACCCTACAGAAACCCCTTCATGTCTGTGATTTCCTGCCTCTGCATAGTATATAACATTCCTGAAGCCCAGGCCTCACCTCAAACCAGTTACATCAGAATCTCTGGGAGTGACACCTGTTCTTGGCATTTTAACATCTCCTTGGGTAACCCTCTTATGTAATCATGGTAGAGTTCCATTTGTATATGCTGTTTTAAACACAATAGCTGAAAGATCTTCTTCTTGGAATAGCTTTTAGCCAAATGTTTGCTTCCTTCTCTTTCTCCTTCTTTTCTCCTTTCTTTTCCTATTTCCATCACCAAAACATCAACCTTGTTATTCTGAATAAATTCTCTCTCCTCTGTGTTCTCAGCTTCTCTACCTGCAAAACCAAGACTGGCATGATGCATTAGTCACTTCTCTTTATGCTGTGACAAACAGCTGACAGAATCCACTTAGTAAGAAAGACTATTTGACACACACTTTCAGGAGATATAAGCCCATCAAGGCAGAGGAGGTGTGGTGGCAAGAGTGGATGAATTTGTAGTAGCAGGAGCAATCATTGCAGCTCCTCACATTGTGTGTCTGGACCAAGATGTAGAGAACCAGACTGGAACAGGAGAAAAGTTTAAGTTTCAAAGGTCCATGTCCAGTGACCCAGCTCAGTCAGGTATATTTCACATATCAAAGGTTCCATAACCTGTAGCACCAGCCAAGGGCCAAGGGTGCAAAGAGACAAGACTGTGGAGACATTTCAGACTTGAATGAACATGTGGGGCCAGGCAGTCTACAAAACGTCCTCTGCTGAAAATCTCTGAAGCCTCTGCTTTTGTTCTTTGTTTCAAACCATTGCCCACACTATTCCTGAGTGCTAAGACCAGTTTTGCATTTTGTGCTCACCATTGGGAATTAGAGAACTTAATGTACTTGTAACTTTTCCAAGGTTACTGTATTGAACACCTTTCTTTTAGCAGCAATGGGACACCCACCGTGCAAACTTCCTTCTCCTTGTTACTTTGGCAACATGTTGTCAAACAACAGGAGGGAAAGAACAGTCTGCAATGGCCTTTATGGAATGCAACCAATTACGGCAGAAAGAGGCATATCAACCATCGTGGGAATGAAAAATATTTGCCCTGAGAATCCCATCCATGTGCATGATAATAAATTGAAACAAATTCTTGTTTGTGTGAATTGTTATAGTCATGTGCCAGAGTGGACACTTAGATACAGAGTATGACATTTTTATGTCAGGAGTCAAAAAGAGTCCTTTTATTCCAATTTCTGTTCATTTTTTTCTTTCTCCCAAAGCAATTCTTTCAAAAGATATGCTTATGATAGCAATGTAAATCTGTGTTACAGTAAGTTGGGTCCAGGATACTCTAAGTATCTCAGTTTATCGACTATCTCCATCAGTGTGAGCTTAAGGATCTTCCTCTTTAACTGTCTGTGAAATATTGTCATGATCTTTCTCCTCTTTACCTATAGCAAATGCCCCTAAAACAGTGCATATTAATGCTCTAATCCCTAAGGTTTCATTCTTACTCAAGCCATCCCTTTCTAGCTGCACTGTACCTCAGCTCCAGGGAACAAAAGGGAGAAGAGATGAGCTCATCATTGCCTTAACTCTCGGTGACAGAATAATGGCTGCTTTGTTAGTACCACAAGAGTGGGAAGGGACTTTTATTCACTTAACAGCTATTGATAAGTACATTCTAGATATTAGACATAGAACTTAACACTGTTGTGTGTCAGTGAAGTGCTCTGCTGTGTGGTCTTCTACCATTTTGCCTGTGCTTACATTCTCAGTATACATTCTCAAGACCCTATTTGACCCCCACCTTTTCCTCTTCTCCAGTTCACTAACACATAACAGGGTTTAGTGCTTTGAAACAAACTCTTGATTAAGTCACTTCTCTACTTTAAAAAATTCCTCAAAAGCTTCCATACTCCCACCTCTATCATTTACCAAATAAAGTACTTACTCCACAGCTTGTCATTTAAAGTCCTCCATGATCTGGCTCCAGCCCCCTTTTGGAATGTTATCCTTCAACTGTTCCCTTTTAAGGACTCTATGTTCTCTGCTACACCTTCTCAATTTGGAAACTTCTGCCTGGAATATTCTCCACAAACTGCCTATTAAAAAGTCTATTCACTGTTCATGACCCAGGTCACAAACCCTCCCCGATAAGCATCTCTACTCGTAATTTAAACACCGATTTGGATTTTTCCTGTGACCTGTTACCTTCTGCCTTGTGTTGCAGACTAGCTCTTAAACTGGGAAGGCGCTTTAGCCTTTGGAGCTGTTTTCTTCCTCACGAGTTTCTCTGGGAATCTAGTCCAATCCACAAGGAGAGAAGAAAACCTCAGCAAATTTCCAGTACTGCTTTCTCATGGGCACATCCTTACCTTTGTTAATGTAGGAAGACATACAGTTAGGAGTTTGTCACTAAAATTCAAAGTTATTGAATTACTGCCAATGTCTATAACTCAATTCCTGACATCTCATTGTTGATATTTGTTTTGGACTGATATTTTTCTTGTCATTTATAGAGACATTCTTACCTCCGTTCTCCCTATGATCCTCCACCAAGCAGACAAGCTGGAGGTTCTCCTCGCTTTCCTGGGGGGAGAAGTCACCGGGGAGCTCTTATGGATTCCCAGCAAGCATCAGGAACCATCGTACAGATTGTCATCAATAACAAGCACAAACATGGACAAGGTAAAGAGCATCCTCTTCAGCAGGCCTGATCTTTAGAGACCAAACCTTGGACAGGACCCTTTATTCCATAAATAGTGTATACTCACATGTGCATCACTAAATCTGGTCTTCCAAGGTGGGTATGAACAAGTGAGAGGGCTTGTAAGACTTTCAACAAATGCACTCAGAATAGTATACACAAGTACCTTTGTGCTTATGAAGCAACCTCTAGCACTTTCTCTGTTGCCTGTGGGAACTGGAGGTCATTTGGGGAAATCCACTAATCTTTAATAAGCAGGGCACCCAACATTTGAAGGCACTTGATGCCAAACACTTCTAAAGCTCTTCTCAATAGTTAAGTATTAAATAGCCTTTCTCCTGGGACTCTTGTTAAATATTCCTGGCTCCAATCTTAGAGATTTTCATTCAGCATGTAGCACATGAAGAGATCATCCTTCCATTTGAGTGAGCCAGTGAGAAATCCAGAAACCACCTGGCTGAAAACCAGGACCACTGAGCAGGTTAACACTGTAGACCACTCAGCCATGAGTCTGGCTGCATGAGCGTCCATATATGTTTATTGGTACAATTTTCTCTCCTCTGGCCTCCACTGCCCCAACTCCAGTAGGAGAGGTGAGAAGAGGAGAAAAGCATAATGTTGACTGATGCTTAGCTTGTTGTGTATCCTGTCAATCAGTTCTCTGGAATAAAGGCTCAACTAGTTCCTTTTAACATAACCACAAACATGTTTTGTTTCCTTTAGAAAGAAAATAAATCAAAAGGCAATTCTTTGAATGGGATAAAAGTAAATTATTAAACCAAATGAAGAAAAATACTGGTGAAAAACAATCCATTTCAAAGAACTACTAGGATAAATCTCAACTGAGCTGGTCAAGCCAAAGCTAGTTCATCACATCTGTTACTAGTTACATGTAAAATTCAGATTATACATAAAATCATCAATTTAAAAAATCTACAGGCTTAAGAGAAAAGTCTAAATACAATTTAATAAAATTGTGGTTATTAAAATAGTTAGAAATATGTATTATTGATCTGTGTTTGATTTGAAATTTATGACTTTTAAGTTCCAAAGTTTTCTGATACGACTTTATGAAAGGAAGAAGAGTTAGATAGAGATACAGTTGGATTTTTCAATTCTAAATTACCCCCAATAGATTCCATTTGCTCTGGAAGCATTGCAAAGCCTTAAAAAATTATTGAGGACAAAAATAGACTTTGAAAGCCCCAAATACCATAATTTCCCTAAGAACTCTTCATTTTTCATAGTAGAGGTGCATCCCCTCACTGCCTCAGTGCCCTACAAAAGCCCTGGCTGCTTCACATTTCTTCATCTGCCACGTTTATCTGGATAGATCCCTTCTCTCTTGACCTCTCTGTTAGAGTTAACTGAAGAATCTCTTGTCTTCACCTTAACGCCCAAACCCCAGCTGGATGATTCAAAATCATCTTTTGGAATTTTGTTGGTGGGAGGAGGCTCTCTTCCCTTCTATGTGCTGCATTTTATTCCACTGCAGAGTGTGGGATTCTGCCTAGTCTGGACTGTTCCCATAGTCCAAATGTTTAGAAGGAAGATGAAGCTTAGCATAGGTAGTATTGACTGCCTTGTTTTCCCTAAGTATGGATCACCCTTCTGGTCTCTCTGCATAGTGACGAGGTCCCCTGTGTTACATACACTCAGATCTTTGTTAAAAATCAAAGAAGAAAAGCAACAGGAGTCCTACATTTTAAACTTAAGTCCTGCCAAAATGTTCTTAAAGCCAACTTTGTACCCACATTGTTCAACTGGGTCTATAAAACAGCGTTTCAGTGTTGGGAAGAGAGAGAAATGGGTGGGCAAGAGAGAAACACATGCCTAATTTCTATGGTTCTGTTCATAGCCCAGAGCCTCACACTTTAGGTATCTATTGAGACTCTCTGTGCACTGGGATCTTCTCCAGGATAGGTTCTTGGAAATCTTTACACAGACTGACCTGTTAGAGGGCCCAGTACTCAAGCAGTTCTTGCAAAAGACAATAAAAGACAGGCAATATCTTTCATATTCTTTAATGTGACCCAGTGGACTTGATGAGAAAGGAATAGCCTAATGATTCATCCTGAGTCTGTGTTGCAGCCAAATCAGTCAATTCCTAGAAACGCCCCAAGTGGGAATATGTCTCCCCCTAGCCCTGGCCAAAGAGATACACCCTACCCTAGAGATAGCGTTGATTAAGATGCCGACAGGTCTCCTTGGGTATGATGAGGTGATGGAAATAATGAGAACCACACCCAGACCCATTTATGGCTTGAAATATCCACAGTCTCAGCCTTTCAGAAATGGAGAACATTTGTTCTCAGGCCTCTCCTTTTACAGCACTACCTGTCCATTTATCCCTGGAACCCAGCCAGCTCCATGCTGTATAGTAGTAGCCTAATAGGTTTAATGTCAGGAAGAATGTTCTGTGTCCCCTTTCCTTCATAGGTTGCCTCTGCCTGTAATCCCGATATATGATTTTTCAAGATACCTCAAAAAAATAGAGGTCATGACTGTTCTTCTCCTTCAACAACTGTCTGAGGGACAAAAGATACCTATCTCTAAGGCAAGCGTTGATTTGATTTGCTGTAGCCACATCACTATAGCAGCTACCAATGGAAAACTGAAAAAAATGCCTGAAGATTAGAGGCATAAAAGGCCACCACCTCACGAGTTACCTAAGAGATGTAGGTCCTTTTCTTCTAACTCTTGTCATAGCATCCCTCTTCCTATACCAAAATATAGTCTGTCAGCACTAAATACCATGCCCATATATCTTTATTTGTAGATCAGACACTCATAACATTTGATATTATGAATGGATTTGATTCAGGATATAGATGAAACTGACCCTTTGAAAAGAGAATTGGTTTTTGCATCTAGCTCTCCTGGTTAGAAAATCTCTTTTGGAAATTTTTATATCCAGAAACATAACCACTTAAACTACATAGATTTTCTGTGCCACTCAAAATATTTAAAAACGCTACAGTCTACTAGAGATTCTTTATCATATGTTCAGGACAAATGGAACTCCATTTTCAATGAATTCATTCATTACCCTGTTGAAAAACTATTTGCAGACTGCCCATTGTTTCTCAGACTATTTGTGAGAATTCGGATGCTGCTGCGGAGGCATATGGATAACTGTTGAAGGGAGCTTATCACTCAAACAATGCTATGGTCAAAGACTACCTCTGTAAACGCATGCTCTTGCCATCACAGAACAAATGGTGTTTGATATTTTAAATAATTCATGGGTGATAGTCTAAGCCTAGTAATTCATCTTCACTCTCTACTCCTGTGTTCCCCTTCAGTGTGTGTTTCCAATGGAAAGACCTATTCTCACGGAGAGTCCTGGCACCCAAATCTACGGGCATTTGGCATCGTGGAATGTGTGCTATGCACTTGTAATGTCACCAAGCAAGAATGTAAGAAAATCCACTGCCCCAATCGATACCCCTGCAAGTATCCTCAAAAAATAGATGGAAAGTGCTGCAAGGTGTGTCCAGGTAAAAAGGCAAAAGGTGCGTTGGCTGGAGGCCCTGCCTTTGTTTGAATGAGAGTCACACAGTGTCCTGTTTTATTTTCTTTGTGCATCAGAAACATAAATGACCTATCATATAATTATAATGATAATAGTTCTAGAAAGAATGAGCTTCATTCTTTCCTCTTCTGAGAGTGATGGTTGCTTTGAAGGAATTAACTACTCAGAAATATTCTGGAGGGTTTCTTGTGTCTACAACTTCACACACATGCCAAATTGCTTAACTTGTTCTTGCTTTTCTAAACTAGAGAGTGTATGTTATCACTGTTTAGAAAACTAGCCACACCTTACACCTTTTAAATGACTAACTCACTTCCAGCCATAATCCAGTACTCTTTTAAGATGAGAGATGCATGAGTTACAGTTTATGAAGATTAGGTTCTGGTCCAAATGTAAGGCCATTATGTGACCTTGGATATATACTGCATCCATATATATCTGGGCCTCATTATCCCCATGTGAAAAATTAAAGCAGTTTATCACTGTGCTCCAGTTTTATATTTTTATTTGCATTTTATGTTTTAATTTTTGAGGCATAGTATCTGTACATATTTATGAGGTACGGTATGATAATTCAGGACATATATACAATGTATGATTATCAAATCAGGGTAATTATCATTTCATCTCCTATGATGTTTATCCCTAGACTCTTCTAGTCATTTGTAAATTTATCATAAATTGGTTTTGCTATGGTAACCTTATTGTGCTATAGAAAAATAGAAATAATTAATTCTAATGGTGTTTGGTGTTTATTATCAAACCTCTATCTCCTCTTCACTGCCTTCCACCACTAAAATACTATAATTATATTATTTCTCTTTTAAATACAAGAACAGTGAAGTGTATAATGTATAAACTGGCTTTCCCCAAGTCATGAACTAATGGCTAATACAGTCAAGGCCTTAAACCCAGGTCACTTCCAGCCCACTGTCTTTTCTACTTGAAAATGTTACTGATCTTTTTTTTTTTAAGACAAATTTTTCAAATGGTGTTTTTTTTAATACACGAACTAGATTTTTTAAAAAACTGTATCATCTATAGTGTTGGCATCGTACCTTTGGTCTGCTACAGCTACTCTGTGTGACCTAGAACAAGGTCCTTCAACCTTCTGAGCCTCTATATGTTTTTCTTCAAAATGATATGGTTAAAGCAAATGACTTCCTATAGCCACCTCCCATCCCAGAATTCCACCATCAATTAGCCATTCCCAGGTACATTAGTTCATCACTTCTTAAGCCTTCTGTAAAGAATTTATGTAAACACAAGTGAAAAACCTTTTTTGAAAATGAACGTGGATACATCATTTATCCCTTCCATTAAACAGTTGCTCCTGCCTTGCAGGCAAAATGCATTCAGTGTAAGTCCATGAGAATCTTTCCTTACACTGTCTATGATCCCTGAAATTGTCTACACATTCGAATCCCCAGGGAGCTTCTAAAAGTACCTATGGCCCATCTCCACAGATTATGATTTAATTGATTTGAATTGTGATCTGGACTTGGGACTCTTATAATTGCCTCAGACCCCTTTGATATGCAGGAAAGTTTAAGAACAATCGGTGCATGCTCACAGTGATTCATGCTCTTGTCTTTAAAAATATGATTGGTGCTCCAGCAGCACATAGGAGCTAATTATAAATGCTGATTCTCAGGACTCCACCTGCGCTGCATCCAAATCTGCAGTTAAGATTATCAAGTGAGTCTACTTGAAGTATATATATTAAAACTTGAGAAGTAATAATTTAAGGTAAATACAATAACCTTCATCTTGCATAATGATAGGGACAGGATGTGGATACAAAGATCTGGCCAATAGTAGAAATCGCAATACTAAAATTCAGGAGGAAGTGTGCTTATTTGGATTGGGCAGGAAGCATATTCTAGGAATGATGTGGATATCGGGGCCACCCAAACATGGTGACTTATAGTCCCTTTCAAGGCTGGGGTCTCATTTGATCCACAAATCTTAATGTCATTTGCAATCTCCCAACATGTTTTCGTCTTTGATCACAAATCTAACGTTTACACTTAAAGGGTAATACAGGATAACCTTAGGAAAAAATTAATAGTTACCTAAATACTGAAGATCAGGTTTTCTGATTTCATGCTTTGATTTTTCAAACAGAATCTTGTTTCACATTGTGCTTAGGATTTTATTAATACGGGTGATTCCAAATAAAAGGAGAAAATGGGACACAGAGCGTGCATTTCTTTAAAAAAATTTCCTTCTCAGGTTGTTGGTGGTTTGAAAGCATCCAGATAAGCAACTCCACCCTTGGGCTTACCCTGAGAAAGTAAATGGAAATACATAAAGGTAGAGAAAGCTAGGCTTTTCTGGTGCAGTGTTGTTTGTAATAGTGAAACACTGACAACAATCAGAAAACTCACTCATAAGGAAATGATTAAATTATGGTATAACTGCACTATGAAATATGTAACCATTAACACAATTATAGACCAAGACTGCAGGCATGGAAACATTAAGTTAAAAGAACAAACTACAAAAGATATGTGTATTTTAATTTTTGTGTTAAGAAAAGGGTTGTATGTGCTTACATTTTTTAAGGTCTGGAAGGGATAATAACAGAATGTTTACAGAGATAATCTTTGGATAATTGACTTACCAAGTATTCGTATTTTCTTCTATCACTTGTATTTTCTAAATTTTCAATAGTAAACATGTACTAATTTTATAATATGAAAACATAATAAAAGTTGTTTTAAAACCACCGGCCAGAATCCCAATTGTCAATATATTGAAGAATCTGACTGACTCAATCCCTGAATGAGCTATTTTTACTGTTTTCCATCGTGATCAGATATGTTGAGATAGTATATCCATTGGGCATCATGCAAAGAGACAGTTGCAATCACATTCTATTTACTTTTCTCTCTGTGAGCCAGAACTGGGTGTGTGCATTTTAAATCACTCTTAGGGGTTGTATTGCCCAAGAGTCAATGTCATCATGGCCCAAGGCCTGTTCCACATATTCAGCACATATAAAGCATTAAATATGTTCTGCAATCGACCTAAAAATGCATGTTAAGTACCTACTGCATGCAAACACAGACACTGAAGAATGAGAGATGAACAAGACAGGCAAAGGCTACTACCCTGATTCTTATATTTTAGTGAAGACGAAGCACAGTAAAACCAAATCAAGAATGTAATTTTAGCATGTGATGGGTACTGTGAAAGGAAAAGGAACAAGATCAGGAGATGGTGAATAGTGCATGAAACACTTTCAAAACAGTAGTCATTGAAATGTGATGTTTGAAGAGACTCCTAGGTGACATGAAAGGGTCCACAAACAGGAACATCAGATCGTCAGTGACTTCTTAAAATAATGGTGCATGGCCTAGAGGAAAACAGACAAAGTGGTGAAAGAAATAAATAAAGGAAAGTAGGAAAGAAATAAATAAGTTCACTGGTGACCAAGTCAAAAGTTTCATCACAACAAACAAGAGCAGTCTCCATCATTAACGAACACAGGCCATGGTAAATGATGTAAATTCCACTTCTCTCTAGTTACTGCTCTGCTAGCAGTCAGCCTCACATTACATGTCAGTGTCCACCAATGAACTGACTAAGACACACACCTACAGATTCCCCAGCTCACCTCTCATACCTCTGGTACTGCCCTAATACCTAGAAATCCTCACACACTTCTTTAGGATTTGGTCATTAAATGCCCCTGTTATGGTTTAAAAAGCTTCCTGAGATGAGATAACACATCTTTATCTGTCATCATCACCCCCCAAAGTAATAGTGTCTAACTTTCTTGGTTCTAGAGGTCACAGGATAATTTTCTCATGGGGAATGGACATGGCCCAAAATTACTTCAATTATGGCGTGGTTCACTGAAAGGAAATGACAGTAGATGGGCATGGAGGTGACATGCCTCGAGATGGAAAGTGCAAGATGTTACTGAATACATCCATTTAAGAACAAAATTTGTTTTAGTGTCTTCCAGTTTCAACTAGGGCTGAGTCACTAATGGAGTTCTGTTGTTTGTGGATTTCCTCAGTTGTGTAAGTTCGGATCTTAAGAGGGTTTGGTGCTTCTGAATGTCTCTTTAGGATACTGAGAAAACTTTGAGTACATGACATGTACTTCTAATGCCATCACAGGCTGAGTTTCATATGTCAGTTACATTCATAGTCAACATCAAGCTACTGAGCAAAGTTTAACAAAATAAGCTCTCCTTGTAAAGGTAACAACTGAATTCATAGAAGTCCCTGTACACTCCATGACCTCCTTGTTTGGATTTGAAAACTGTGAACATGAAACCCTTAATTGCCTAACATCACTGAAACAGACTGGCCTTCCAAGGAATAAAATATTTAAAATGAAAGGCAAACGGAGAAAGGAAGCTTGATTCTAGGATAATCCAAAAATGAGTGATCCAACTTGGAACTGTCAAGAGATGACAGTGGTTTGGTTTTGTCCTCACCGTGCCAAATGGTGGGAGGCAGAGGTAAAGAGGAAACTTAATCAGGTCCAAAAGAGACATACAATAGCAATTTGATTACAATGTCCAGTCCAATATATCTGATTGGACAACAGTGAGTCTCTCATCAGTATGAGCCACAGATTACCCAAACATTCAACCCTCAGTGGATTTATCCCTGATGGCTCGGAGGTTCTTAAAAATAGCTTCTCCATAGTCTTAAAGTTTTCAGCGTGGGTAAGGAATCTCTTTAGTATTTCTTATTTGAGTTATATACTCTGAATACACACCTGAAGGGGGTGCTGATTAAAATCCTTCAAAGGAAAAGCACACCAATAATCTGTTTTTCACCAACAATAAGGAGGATTTATTTTTTGGTAACGAGCCTTGGCAAAGGGAGTGTGGTATGAAATGCCAAGCAATTGTGGGGCTGGTACCTTTGTTCCTGGGAGCTGAAATTCATTGGTCAGCTATACATAGATACATAGACAGTAGATCTAACCAATTTGTGTGTGTGTGTGTGTGTGTGTGTGTGTGTGTGTGTGTGTGTGTGTGTGTGTGTGTGTGTCCCAACTGTTCGTCTGGCATAGTATACACATGACTAATCTGACATCTAGATTTTGGCACTGGTGCTGATCCGGTATTATCATTCCTCTTCCAAACAAATCAAAGAGCATTCAGAAATGTCAAGCCAATTTGGATGGATCCGTTGGGCAAGTATATGCACATAAATGGATGTCATGAGTGTTTTCTAAGTATACTGAAATGATTTCAGAAAAGCTAACCAAAGCTCTCTGTCAACCCATCTCCTGGGCCTCTCTTAACAACGCTGGGCTGAATAGAACATGCTTCTACCCTAGTATGGAAACTTCAGTGTTCCATTAAGTATGTAAGTGATGTATGTATACCTGGCTATAGTCTTCTTCATAAAAGTCCATGTCTCAGTGACTGTTTTAGGGAGATCCAATTCAGTTTGTGGGTGAGCCCTATAGAGTCACTAATTCTGTCATCACATGGACTCATGAGAGCTTAGATGCATCTTGGTGATTTGGTAGCTGCTAGAGGGGCACCCTGAGCTGAATTTGTAAGGCAAATCTGGGAATGTTGTCTCTGTAAAACGTGGTCCTGTTGATTGTCTACTTCTGCTGTGTCAGCTGTTCTAAACAATGAGATAGCTAAATTCAGAAGTTCACTTCTAGTTTTCAAAAACCATGCCAAAACTCTACTTGCTTCCTGGTTCCAGAAGAAGCTCCAAGCCAAAACTTTGACAGCAAAGGTTACTTTTGTGGAGAAGAAACCATGCCTGTTTATGAGTCTGTGTTCATGGAGGATGGAGAGACTACAAGAAAAATAGCACTGGAGACCGAGAGACCACCTCAAGTAGAGGTTCACGTTTGGACCATTCGAAAAGGTGAGCAAAACAGCATTACATTTGTGATTGTAAGTGTGGCAGAGAAGGGAAAACTCAACCTACTTTTACTTCAGCATGGTCCTGTGCTTGGGTTAGATGTTATCCCCTTGCTAAGAAACAGGGTGTCTGGCACGCATGCTGTGTTTGCAAATTTAACACAGTTAGTGCTACAGATTAAATATTAACTCTTGAGATCCCCAAGATTGTCATTTGTTTTGTTATGTTTTGAATTTTATATCAAATGCCTAAGCCCTACCACCAGAGTCTAATTTGTTCATCTGAGCCAGGCATGTGAAGCAGTGTTTCTGTAAATCCTCAAAGTGGTTCTAATCTATGGCCTACACTATAAACTAAGAAAATACAGTCTCCCTTTCCAGTGTGAAGCTCAAGAAACAGGAAATCCCATTCCCACAGCGTGAAGCTATGTCTCTGGAATTATATACCATATACTCTGGGTTAAGATCAATTTATAACATCCTTCCTAATTTTAAGAAGATTATGGTCTTGGGCTAAGGAGATTACTCACTAGGTAAAGGAGTTTGGTGACAAGCCTGATGACTTCATTTCAGTCCCTGGGACCCACATGATAGAAGGGGAGAACTGAATCCCACAATCCCAAGTAAATTGTCCTCTGACCCTCAAATGTGTGCTGTGGTACACAAGTGTCCCTTCTCCCCACACGCTTCTGTGAAGAAGACACACATACAGTGTGAAGAAGATTATAGTCTTACTCAAAATAACCCCAGTCATTATATTCACTTGCTTTTTCTGATTTTCCACAGCAGCCACCACAACCATCAATGTTCTATTCAATACTTAGTGTACTCCTATAGCTATCTACTCATACTATGCTGTATATACAAGACTAGTGATGATCTAGTCTGGTCTGATTTTCCAGGAATCCAAGTGTAGGGATAAGATTTCATTTGGACAATAAGATATATCATTTTGAACCTACCTCTTATTCAAGATTTAAGGGTATTTACATAGCCAGGTATGGTGGCATCTATCTTTGATCTCAGCACTTGGGAGGCAGAGGCAGGTGGATCTCTGTGAGTTCAAGGTCAGCCTGATCTACATAGAAAGTTCTAAGACAGACAGGGCTGCACAGTTAATACCCTGTCTCAAAACAGAAACAATAATAACCAGTGTGCAAACATGTATTGCTTCAGCATCATTCACAGAAGTATAGTAATGGGCTTCTAGCTAGTCCTACCCAGAGATGAGAATTCAGTATGCCTTGGATACGTTATAAATATTGCAAGATTAAGGCAGAATCTTGTGATGCTAATGCAAGTAGTACTTGGATTATGCTTTCGGGAATACTGCAATAGTTGCTTATTGCATGTTTTCTCTCTCCATTTCTCCAACAACCTCGCTTTTTCTAAAGAATTACCCCCAATTAGGAAATATGATATGATGCACATGTGCTTTTCAGTAATGCTTGTTATAGCTTTTTATTTAGGCATGTCAATTTTCCATCTTTAATTCCATAGTGAATATGTTTACTAGTCACCTGGGACTAAGAACTGGCCCAGTGGTTTCTCAAGCAATGAACTCAGTCACATATCCTTCCACCCACTAAAGTACATGGATGACTTACAATTTACTAGTAGAATATATCAATACCCTTCTATTCACACTAAAGCTTTTATTGACGTTTATGCATCCTGGACACAGCAAAACCTTTCTTCCCTGTTGACCTCTGGGTTTAAGGGAGCTGGTAACGTGTTGCTCCTTAATTACTTGGCAGTTTTCAGTTATTTACCTGCCTCTGATAAAAACTGTTTAGGATAGGTGGAAACTGTGGGCCAATGCATAAGAACCCCACCTTCTTTTTTGGTTTTGTTTTGTTTTAAGAGAAGCCTGCAAGAATTGTTACTATTTCCCAAAGGAAAATTTGCACTTCTGTGTGAATTCAGGAATAGAGGTAGCTTCTCTACACAAATAATATGCCTGCAATCCTACTACTGGTTTTCATTGTTTAGCCAGGAGGGCAGCCTAGTGGTTTGGCAGGAACTAGTCAATCCAATTTTTGGCCAAAAGCTGAATTTCTAATACTGCCTCTGTCTACAGAAGTTCCAACCAGTACTCATGCTTTTCTTAGGAGGGGATTCCATGGTCAGAAGTATTACCTCCCTTATCTCCAGTCCCTGGAGAAGCTAAAGGGAGGCCAGTGAGCCAAGGAAACAAATGGAGTCAATTAAAGTCTTTGAGCCCTCCAAGTTCCTGGTTAAGTACATTACACAACCCAGCTCAATACTCCTAAGCTCCAATAATGACATTATATGCTCATCTTGGGCAGAAAAGGGGTCTGTGCTTCCAGAAAGAGATAGAAAATGTTTCATCACCTGTTCCACTTTGCCCTTGGCCCTAGGCATTCTCCAGCACTTCCACATTGAGAAGATCTCTAAGAGGATGTTTGGGGAGCTCCATCATTTCAAGCTGGTGACTCGGACCACCTTGAGTAAGTGGGAACTCCTTTTACTCTTAGCCGGAAATCACTTCTAGCTTTTAAATATAGTGTTGCCACACTTGAAGTCCCTCTGTCTTCTCAATGAACATAAAGAATGCTCGGTTTCAACATTAGAGGATGCTCTATTTCTCTTTTGGAGGACTAAGAGGCAAATAGGGTGTCTGAGTGCAAACTGGAGAAACTTGGGCATGATGGATACAAACTTTAATGTAGTCCACATACAAGCTATTTCGGGTCAAGTTTTCTTAAATATCCTTAATGAAACTAATAAACCAAGACACAAGAGGGTTGAAGGAAACTTCATAATATTTCAGATGTAGTATAACTGTGGAGTCTTCACAGCTGGATAGCTATGTTCTATGGGAATAAAGAAGAGGAAAGAAATATGGAGTGCCTATCAATTCTGTGTTACAGCAGAGCTCTTAGACTCTTACAAAACTACCACTAGGTGACTGGGTAGTGGTGGCACACACCTTTAATCCCAGCACTTGGGAGGCAGAAGCAGGAGGATCTCTGTGAGTCTAAGGCCAGCCTGGTCTACAGAGAGAATTCCAGGACAGGTTCCAAAGCTACACAGAGAAACCCTGCCTCTAAAAACAAAAAAGCAAACAAACAAGCAAAACAACATGAAACAAAACTACCACCAAGTGCTCATGTTTCTTTAAAAGCATTCAGGCATCCATGCAACTGTCTCACTTTCTACACTAGATGGAGCTTAGGGACTAGATAAGGCAGGGCACTGGGGTAGGCATTGGTGGGGAGCACTTCTAATGGAATAAAAGGCACCAGATTTCTATCCACAGGGAGTTTCTAATGGGCGAGACAGAACACGAACAGGCCTTCAGTGTGAATGAGAAGAGCTGTGAGGAGTTAAATACCTAAGTGCTCAGGGGAATCTGCAAAGAACAATAAGTTGAGAGCCAGGTGGGCTTAGTCGAGGAAGGCTTCGGGGAGGAGGTGCTTTTTAAAAGAAAAGGGTGTGACTGGGCAACAGGTCAAAAAATCAGTCCTGGGTGATGGTGCAGCCTAAGAGAAGATTCAGGCAGGAGCAGACAAGAAATGTGGGTGAATCATAGGTTAGAAGACAGATCTGGCACCATTGAGACCTCTAGTGATCTAAAGGGATGACACCAACTGGCAAGCTAAGCAATAGTGGAGAGACCACCTTGAATGCCCATTCCTGATAATGAACTTGACGTCTACACTATATGCCATCCTGGAGCCTTCATCCAGTGACTGATGGAAGCAGAGGCAAACACCCACAGTTAAACACTGAACTGAACCCATGGAACCCAGTGACAGAGAGAGAGGAGCGATGAGCAAATTGGCAAAGAATGGGCTGGCAAAACCAGCAGAGACAGCTGATTTGAAAAGGGGAGAGCTCTTGGACCCCAGACCCACAGCTGGGAGGCCAGCATGGGACTGATCCAGACCCCCTGACTGTGAGAATCAGTGAGGAGGCCTCAGCAACCTATGGGGCCCTGGGCAGTGGATCAGTGTTTATCCCTGGCATACAAACGGACTTCGTGTGTCCATAACACAAAGAGGGTTGCTCTCTCTGCCTGGACTCTTAGGGGAGTGCCTGGACCCTGCCCTGAATGAAATGACAGACTTTGGATATCCCCTATGTGGAAGGAAGTGGCGATAGGGTGGGAGGCTGGGGGGGGATGGTGAGGGCTGCGGGAGGAGGGGAGGGAGAGGGAACTGAGATTGACATGTGAAGCAAGCTATTTAAAATTAAAATAATAAAAAAAGAAATGTGGGTGGGGGTGAGGAATGCACCAAGGCCACATAGGGTGCAATCCAGATAAAAAGAGTTTGGTATGAAGTAGTCAAACGGCTTAGAAGAAGCCCATGTAAAGTGCACATGCAAAGCAAGTAACGTTGGGAGTCGCTACACAATCCAGGCAGCACAGTGATGTCATGCAGTGCTCTGAGCTTTTAAATAGATTCACCCAGGTGAATCCAAACTAAGAAGTGAGATTTGACCTCCATCCAAAAGCACAACAGCAGGGGTAAGTAAGTAAGTAAATGGAGTATTCGCATCTGGCTCTTAGAAAGAAAGTCTTGCTCTGAGGAGTAGGGTGTGCCATTAATGGCAGAGCTGGTGAGAATCTGAATTAGGAATTTCTCACACAATATTGTCTGTGAGACAAGGGAGGTCACCATGAGAGACATTTCTAAGGCTAAGTCAACAAATAGTTGTGTCAGGGGGATTAGTGTAGAGCAACTCCAGTATTAACAACTTTGAAGATTGGGTGGATAGCAATGCCATTCGCCAATTAAAAGCTGAAGAATAAGCAAGTGTTGGTGAAAAGGGACGTCTGCTTGGAAAGTACTTTGATCAGGATGCCTGATAATCAACTAGAAACGTGGTTGGTAAGGTATTTTGTATGTCTTTTGAAAGATTGATAGGAAGTAAGATGAACAGTATGAGAATCTGAACCCAGGACTTGGGGAATCCCTACAAGAGAGTCGGGAATAAAGAAAGCAGAGATTAGGGTCCAGAGATCAATTACTAGCTCAACATAGAACACATTTCAGTTCATGTTTTGAGCAAGACCGTGTACCAGGCTCCAGAGGACTTCAAAGATGATTTAGACATACTCTGTGCCCATAGTAATTAAGACTGGGGCCAGGTAATAGAATTAGGTATTGTGTGCCCCAAACATTGTACAGCTGAAGGAAATGGGTAGTGGCATGATCCAATGGAAGAACCTGGGGACAACGAAATAAGCCAAACTCCTTCATGTAATGTGCTTCAATAGCATGATACATCACAAGGCTTTGGTAGATGTTATGTCCCTTTTTTTCTACTTTCATGCTGAGGCATAGAGAATAGAGAAAAATGAGGAATTTAAGGCAGAAAGAAGCAGGGATATCAGGTCTCTAGGGGAGGGCACTATGTTCTCATGTAAGTAGGGAAACCAAAGAAGTTTAAAGCAGGTTTAGGTTGAAAAAGAGTTTCCTGACTTGTGCTCAGAGCTTCCCAGATTTCAACACCATAAACATAGGAATAAAAAGAAATGTGAGGGGCTGTTGAGAGTCAATAAGCAATGGAAGTAAAACATGCAAGTTGAGAGAGTGGAAAGGGCTGTGAATCAGTGTGAGAATAGAGCACGATAAGCAGCCACAGGGCGGCATTTCAGAGTAGCAGTGATGCACAAAGACAGCATGTGGATACAGGAGAAAAATAAATATGAGAAGTTGCTGACAAAGAAAATGAGGAATAGAGAAAATAATGCTAAACAATCAAGTAACCCAAACCATTACATGAGGCCCGAAGAGAGCAAGCTGTGGTCCAGTGATGCAATAGGTATTGCTGTCCACAGGAAAACTGTGGAATATTTTGCAAATGCTGAATACACTCTAAAAATTCCAAACACTGGCTATGGAGCTGGTTCAGTGGTTGAGAGTTCATACTACTCTTCCAGAAGATTTGGGTTCAGTTCCCAGTACCCATATCAGGGTAGTTCACAACTTCTTGTAACTTCAGCTCCAAGAGGGTCTGATACTACCAACTTCTGTGAGTACCTGCACTCATGTGTATATATTCCCCCAAACACATTAAAATCAAATAAATCCATTAATAAAAGTTTTCTAAACATAGAGCTTAGGGTTTACTCATGGGAGAACAGTTGTATCTCATTTGGGGGAGCTTCCAAATGCTATATTGTATGGAAGTAAAAGCTCCATGTCTTGCTTTCTGTCTCTACCCTCAGAAAGATATTTGTGTGTTTGAGGGGGTGCTTTTTTGCTGAAACCACCTGTCATTCATATTTCAAATACCCCGAGGGGTCTACAAGGAGGGGGAAAGAATAAAGCATATTGGTTGTATTCCTAATTAGTTCAGCTCTAATCTTACACACCCCTGACCATTCTATGTTTTCCTTTTAGACCAGTGGAAGATCTTCACTGAAGGAGAAACTCGGCTCAGCCAGATGTGTTCAACTCGGGTGTGCAGAACAGAACTGGAAGATTTGGTCCAGGTTTTATACCTGGAGAGACCTGAAAAGGGCCACTGTTAGACAAAACAGCTAGGATTGCATAGCGTCAATCAAGGAAACCCAAGCTGCAGCTGGACTGCCGGCTTACTTTGCTTAAGTCAACATCGCTCTAAAACCCCAAAGTCAGACGCAGTCAAATTATCCACGCCAGCCACAACACACCTTGTTCCCCTATGTGCAGCCGTGTGCCAGCCCTCAAACCTCTCCTCTAAAGAGAATCAAGGTGTCTGTAATGGTTTCTGGAAGGAGAAGTGATAGAATATCCTGGTGCAGCTTTAGTTTCTCTGAGAATCACTAAAGTTACTTACATGAAAGAAAGAGAAAGAAATTGTTCCATTTAAGTTGGGTCACATAGAGCAATCACTTGTATGAAATGCTTTTTTGAATGCTCAAGTGTCTTCCATTCTAAAAAAAAAAACCTTATTCAGTGGGTGGGTGGAAATACAAGTCAGTCAGTTGTAGAGCACCTGCCTAGCATATTTGGAGCCTTGGGTTCTACTCTCAGTACCAAAAAGAAAATTCCATCCTCATTTCTCATATACATACACACAAGCAGACACACAACTTGCACATGAAACGGCCCCTGTTTCTGACTCCTAAATACTGTTGGGGTTGTTGGCACCCAGGAAAACAAATTCAAAATGTATAGAGAAGACTCTGCCCACAAGCCTGTAAGGCAGTTTTGAAAGTCATCAACCATAGTGGTAGGTTGAAGAACTACAGTTAAGGGTCTTCACTGTGAAGTGCTAAATTCATTTTGGCTAATGCTACCACTTCTATTTCTTTACCTGAACCTATGGAGCCTCCATTAGGAAGGTAGAATTTGGTGAAATTGTCAGAAACTAAATTCATACCAATCTACTCATAAGTGTAGAAGAACACACCTGATAAAAATAAAATAGCCCATCTTTTTTGTTGTTGTTTTCACAGCTATAAAACTCAGTAGTTTATGAGCCAACTCTCACTGATTTTCTTGAGGCAATAGTCACCTAGACAGATACTATGGTTTGAATTATTCTAAAAGCCTGTTTAAGGGCAGTTCTACGTCTCTGATTACAGGAGTGGAAATTTGACTTTCTAAAGAGACCCAGTCCTTTCAAGCTTCTGAGCATTGGTTCTTCTGTCAAAACAGGATTACTGTTCATTCAGGGGGCTGAGAGTCCTGACACAGTTCTTCCTCCTAAACCTTCCTACTAGCCTTGCCTTATCCACAAGCATACTTTGCATCTGGGATTTTGGACAAGGCTGCTCCTGAGATGTTTATTTGAAGCCCAATGCCACAGCATAAATTATCCTTTCTGAGACTTGGCTTTGGGAGCCATCCTTGTAGAAAGACTATAAATACTTTCCAGCAAGAAGCATAGGCCTGCTTTCTGGATCTGAGGAGCATGCTAAGGAGCATGAATGAGCTCAAATGAGTACTAAGAAATATGAGTATCTAGAAACCCCATAAGTTCCCACAGTAGGCAAGAGAACATGATAGGAAAATGTGTGAAAGGTCTGGCCTTTGGGGGAACCCAGCAGAGATGAGGCAGACCCCACAAAAGAGACACCAGGGAGACAAATTTCTTGCCAGCCAGTCAAACACATTCTCAGAAGAGGGACACATGACATTCTTGGCTGCAAAACTACAAAACATTATTGACCATGTGATGGGAGCAGTGTCAATCTGCTGCTGCCTCCCTCTAGGGGAAACAATATTTCCAGATAAGTAACCAGATCCTGAAGGACAGTGGGGATTCCCCCGCTAGATGATTCACCCCAAAGTTTTCCCACCCAGGTGTTCTCTGAAAGCTTAGCCTCAAGGGAACACTTCAAGAGCTCCCCTAGATAGACTCCTGCCTCCAGGTGCAGGGACACACCTTTGTAATGTGCTGTGGGAAGCAGGAACTAGAGAGCTGTGCTAAGTAAATGTAGAAATCCTCCAGCATTTCAAGGTTGGATAGAGTGTAGGGTATAGGGGAAAGAGGTCAAACTGCCTGTAGTTAGTAGAGAGGAATGGATATGGTTGTTTTGTGTATATTTATTTGTATCATAAACACTTGGGACAGCAAAGACTATAAACACCACTTTGCAGTTTTACGCATTTTCTAATTAGCTCATGTAAACAAGTATGAGTAACATAACAGCATTACACTTTCACTTTTCTCACAGGACATGTACCCAAATATGGTACTCATTTATGTTGTCACTGTGTTTCTGAATTTTTAAGTTAATAAAATTTTAATTTAAAAAGGTTATGTACAGGAAAGTAATATGATTGACACTCCAGTCAAGACAGTCATTCAATTGGGTCAAAGATGATGGATGGGCCTAGTAGTTTCACAACCACGGTGATGTTCTTGTCATACTACTATTGAGTAGTTAGCACTGTCCTCTTAGCAGTAAGGATGTCTGAATTTTTTTTTGGTTTTTCGAGACAGGGTTTCTCTGTATTGTTTTGGAGGCTATCGGTCCAGCCCAGCCTCGAACTCACAGAGATCCGCCTGCCTCTGCCTCCCAAGTGCTGGGATTAAAGGCGTGCGCCACCACCACCCGGTGGATGTCTGAATTCTTAAGACAACTCTGTAATTGCTGTATCTGTCAGTCTTTCCAACTAGAAAATGAGATAATGATGATACTATTGTCCTTTGCCTGAAATCTTGCAGTAAGGTTTAATGTAGTCAGTACCTATAATACACTTATTCTAGTGGTTTAGTGTCCATTAAGTATTCCTTGATAACCATGGATATGAAAGGTATACAGGGCTTAGGTTTCAAGAGGACCTCAATTTTTACCTGCTGTTCCCAAAACTTTTATGCAGTTTGTTTAGGGTTCATTGAAAGGATTTTGTTACATGTGTTGATCCAGACTAAATTCCCTCAAATTCTCAATGTTAGCTAAATATAGGCTATCCAGAAGTCAGAATATGAAAAGATTTTAAAAGACATGTCCAAAATGTCAGTCACTGCTGAGATGTCCAGTGATATGGCAGAACTATGTACTGATGTTGGTAACATGGGAGAAAAGAAGTGTTGATATTACTGGAGCAAAGGCTTAGTTGGGGTGAATTATCAGAGTTAAGTGGAAAGGTGCTGTGAGGAAGTAGAGCTAGAAACTCAAGAGAACTCACTGGAGAAACTCCTTGTAAGAGTGGGGAAAGACATAATGGAGAAAACATCTGCAGAAAGAAAAGGAGTCAAAGCAATTTGTCTTATATAGGGGGACTATTTGTCCATATCATAACACAGAGGGGAGAGAGACTATAGAAAGGACAAGATTAAAGATCATGGGTAATAAGGGAATTAGTCCGTTCAATGAAGGGCTGTGAGAAGTCATATCCCATGCTGCTCTCAGACTCACAACTCTTGAACCACAACCTGCGTAAATATTTAGCTTTGGATGCTGACCATTTTTATCAAGGTCCACCTATATCCCTACTATTTAATATCTCTATTATTCCACTCCCCTTATACTCAGCTTCCTTTCTTCTGGAATGGCACACTATGCATCAAAAATATCACGCTACTTCCACTGATGAAAGTGCAAATAAGTCAAACTAGAGCTCTGTGGCTCCATCTTGTATTATCCCCTTTCTGTGATTATTCAGACACAAATTTCTTCCAGCCCTTCAAGTTTGTAGGCATTTGCTATCTACTCCTCTTACAGGACTTTTACCTCTCCTAATCCTTCCACCATGACTCCTAGGAAGCAGCAAACACCACCACATATGGATTTACAGAGAAGACCTGTCTGATCCCACACATTGCCGCCATTTTGAACCATTCTTGCTTTTGCTCTTTTTAAAGAGACTTTTTATATTTATTTTATGTGCGTGTGTATTTTGCCTGCATTTACGTCTGCATACCATGTGCATGCCTGGTGCCTGTGAAGGTCAGAAGACGGTGTCAGATCTCCTGGGACTGTAGTTACAGATATCTTGAACATCCATATGGATGCTGGGAATCAAACTCATGTCCACTAGAAGAGCCGAACTATCTTTCCTGCCCTTTGCTTTGACTCTTGAAGGAGCACAAAAATATGCCTCTCAAAATGGTGTCATTTTGGCATAAGGATTATTTTGAGCTAAAGACAATTAAGAATCAATAGCTGCAGAAAATTTTTCTATTCTGCCTATAACTGCCTGAAATTAGGAAATAAATTTTCCTTTGAGGAAGGTAACCTCTCCTCCATTCCAAGGTCAGAAGAGTGACTAATCCCTTATAGTAAGAAAACACCAAGACAAATTTGCATGAATAGTCAGTTCATATTAAAATACTCTTTAGCATCCATTTATTTCTCCCTGATTCATCGCCTAATCTCTCTCCCAGAATTTATCCATTTAAGTTCAAGCTCTCATTCCTATGTTAAGACAGTATGTAAGCCCCCTGAATCTAACCTCCTTTAGAGATTCATTTCTTTCTGTGAATATGTGTATACACATAATAAAATTTGTGTGTCTTGTATTACTGTGTTTTTATTTATTTAATTCATCAGTTCACAATCATGAGAGCTAAGAAGCCAAAGAAATAGTGTTTCCTCTCCAATAGCTTTGCTAGGAAAAAATATCCACTCTCTCTCTGTCTTATACACAAATACCTTCTTGGCCACCACTGTTGCCAACTCTGTATTGCTGATGAGACTTCTGCTTGCACACAATTACCACCACAGTGACAGTGCTCAGAACTCACTGTCTTCCTCGACTGCACCGTTTCCTGTGAATATATAGAGAACTGCCCCCTTCCTTTGCACCTGTGATGCTGCTTTATCGCCTTACATTAAAGTAAGCAAATCATTCATGAATGTGTGTCACTGTGTGTACCAACATGGATCTTCTTGTGTCTTAGAGTATCATAGAGGTCTTCATGGGGAAAAGGTGTTTTATGCTCTATTTTTCAATCTAGTTTTCAGACCTCAGTTGTCAGTATGCAAAGTCTGCTGTGAGTGAAAGCTTCCATGTTTCCATCCCTATTGGATCACGTGTACTGTTTTTACCTCCCACCAAAACCATCTTTTAAATTGACTTCAAGAGTCTATCCTTCCACCCTATGATTTGATGCCTCCAAATGAGAGAAGAGCTCCTAGAATTCAGGGTGTGAGTCACAGCACATAGTTCCCTGACATTCCATATACATTTTTAATTTTCTATCTTTGTGTATGCTCTTCCATCTCATTTGCATGGCATGATATGATACTTATTCTTAAAGGCCCAGTATATTCATCTCTACTCTGTGGAGCCATGATGGCTTCCCTCATAGTTTCCCACTATTTCCCCATTCTCCCTAAGTACTGTATCCCCCAACAACAAGAGGCTACTACTCTATATTATAAGAACTTAGCATATTTTAGTGCTTCTATTCTTTCACCTATAATGCCAGTGCCTGGTGTCACTACTTAATGAATTCATCTTTCAAGATGCCCAATGCTCATCTTGAGACCTTGTTGCAGGCACAGTTAGTACCTCCCTCCCCTATGTACACAGGAAATAACAATCAGAATACATCCTGGAAGAGCCATTATAGTGATCAGTTGACATGCATGCTTGTTCATTTTATGCTGCCCATAGCTCTAGTAGGTACCATTATTGACCCAATTTTAGAGGTGAGGACACTGGGAGTCTTTCCATATTATATGCTATTAAAATCATGTGCTGTATCATAATATTTTTGTCACTAATATACTGACTACATATACAAGGGCAGACTCACAGCTGAAAATTTCCTGTCATCTAGTGGTATCATAGCTATTGTAACATGATAATGGAGTATATTACTCAAACATTTGTGGTAATATTGGTGCAAACAAACATAGTACGCTGTCAGTTAAAAAAAAACTATGGTCAATGCATAATCATTGCCGGGGATGACTGATGACTACATCCCTAAGTTATGTATCTACTACATTATACGTTTACCATTATTTCAGGGTATGCTCCATCTACTTATAAAAATGTAGTTGAGAGCTGAGGGTGGAGCACAGTGGCAGAGTATACATTTAGCATCCACAAGGCAATTGGTTCAATGATGAACAAATGAAAGAAAGAAGAGGAGGGAGGGAAGGAAAGGATAGTCAGAAGGAAGTAAAGAAAGAAAAAACAAAGTAAGTTCACTGTAAAATAGCCTTAGAAAGGTCATTCCAGAGGAATTCTTTTAAAAGGCAAGGCTATAACAGAAGACAGCTGCATGTGTGCTGATGTCCCTGAAGACCTTGCAGTGTGCCAGAAAAGGTTAAAGGCAGCAATATTGATGCTCTTTGCCCCATGTAGGCCTAGGACATTGAATATGTGTATCTATCTCATACTTCTAATGGAGTCTAAAAAGTGGAATTATGGAGTTAAAATATAAAAGGCCTCATTGTGGCTGTGTTCTAATTGTTATTACAAAAGAGCCAAAAGATTTCCACACCTCCATGCTCCACTCATGGCAAGTGCCATGACAAGTGAATCACTTTGTAGAATATTTTGTTCTCTTATTTACCCCCTTGACGATTTCCTACATGTATACAATGTATCTTGATTATATCCACCCCAACCCTTCCCTCCCATTGCAGGCTGATACACCTAGACAGGTTCCCTTCCCATCCTTGTGTCCTTCCCCACTTCTCTCATAACCCACTGAGTCCAGTTACTGCTGCCTACTAAAGTGACTGATTTTTTTGTCTTGATTGTGTGCAGCTCTATTGAAGATAACCATAGCTGCAGTAAATCTGTGATTTAAATAGCCATGTTATGTCCAGAAGAGAGCCTATACCAGCATTCCACCACCGTCTTCTACATCTTGCATTCTTTCTACCCCTCTGCCCACAATGTTTCTTGAGCTTTGTGGCCATTGATACAGGTGTCCCATAACACTCTTTGACAAGTTCATTTTTTAATCGTTTATACCATATTTTGAAAGTGTATTTTCTATATTTAGATTGATTTAGATACACAAATGTTTACCATCATAATCCAGTTACCTACAGTATTCAGTATAGTACCACACCATGCAATCTAGGAAGATATATAGTTTAGATGTGAACTAGACTAGACCATCCAAGCTTATGTCAGTGTGCTCCATGTTTGCACAACAATGGAATCACCTAACAACAAATTTCTCAGAATATACTCAAGTCATTCAGCAACACATGACTGTGTATGTAAAAATGTGAAGTATTTGCCCAGCCACAGTCTTCCTAATTAGATTGAGGAACTCAGAGAAGATGGGGACCCAGTGCCCATCATTTCCAGACATTCAGAAAATACTTGCCAAGTAAAGAGTCCATCTGATGAAATTCTTTCTACAGTTGGAAAAAACGGCTCAGGGAATTTGGAAAAATGAAATCCTCCAGGACATTTCCCCTGTAGCCTATTCTAAGGAAAACTAATAAAGCATGGTTTAATAAATATAAATGTCAAATGACTGGTTAGCTTTGCAAAATAACTAGTTCTAAGGTGTCAGGGAAAATAACTGATAAATATGGGACTTAAACATAGACTTTTAGCTTCTGAATCAGATGTTTCTGTGCTTTTGTTATAAGCTTCATGACAATACTCAACTGGGAGGGAGTCTTACTACAATTTCACTATTGTGGCTGAAAAGAAATATCTGTATTTAAGACACCTATAATGCATGCTGTAAAGCTTTTATATCTCTCTATCTTTGCATATGTGTTCATAAATAGTGACGTAGTTTGAATATAAAATGTCCCCCACCTGCTTATATGCTGAGTTGCTGATCCCTAGCTAGTGGTATGTTTGGGGAAATGGTGGAAACATTAGAAGTTTGATTTAGAGGAAGGTGTTTGTGAGAAGTGTTTTTCTTAGAGACCATATCTTGCTATTACCCCTTCCTAAATTTTCTATTTCCTGTTACCTGTGAACTGCTTTACTTCACCCCCTGCGGTGCACTATGATGTCCAGTAATGCCAACAACACTGAGACGATTCAGCCACAGTCTCAAACCATGTGCCCAATGTTTCTTCACTTTTAAAGTTGTAGCCACAAGAGGGCATTTTCATTCACTAGTTATGTGTGCCAGGCACTAGAATTCTAATGGTGAACATGATAGACACAGTATCTATTCCCACAGAAGTGTTAGTGTACCTACTAAGGAAAACAAGACACAGAAGTAATTACTATATGATAGGAAATGCAACAGAGTAAGCCTAAGACACTATGGCAAGGGAATGACCATGGAGATTTATCTTTGTCATGGAGGGTGCATGACATTTCTCCAAAGGAAATGGCATTAGAAGTGAGACTTAAAGTTTAGAAGTTGGAGTTTCACGGATTATTTTGCTTGAAAAGAATTGTCTCCTTTAAAAGGGTTAGGGTAACTACTGAACTAAAACATTTATTCTTTAAATGACTCCTGTTACAATGTAGGTGGCACTAGTATAGAAATCTCTGTTCCACTATAAACAACCCCTAGACAGAAATCGCATGCAGAAAAATAAAGAGCAAATGGCTAAGGAGATGTAACACGAGACAGGGACATTTTGAATGGGTGGGGGGCAGGTTTCAGTGTGATTTAAATGAGAACGATTGTCATAGGCTCATGTGTTTGAAAACTTATTCCCTCATTGGTGGAACTATTTGGGAAGAATTGGGAGGTGTGGCCTTGTTGGAAAGAGGTGTGTCACTGCAAGCGTTGAGGTTTCCAAAGACTCATGCCATTTTGAGATAGTTCTATTTCCTGATTGTCGGTTGATATATAAGTCTCAGCCACTGCCACCATGCTTTTGCTCCACCATCACAATTATAACTCTCTGGTAAGCCCAATTAAATGCTTTCTCTTATAAGTTGCCTTGCTCATGGTGTTTTATCATAGCAATAGAAAAGTAACTAAAAGCCGGGCATTGGTGGTGCACACCACTCGGGAGGCAGAGGCAGGCAGATCTCTGTGAATTCGAGGCCAGCCTGGTCTACAGAGCGAGTTCCAGGACAGCCTCCAAAACAATACAGAGAAACTCTTTCTCAAAAAATCAAAAAAATAAAATAAAATAAAATAAAGAAAAGTAACTAACATATTTCCCATCCTGATGAAAAAAAATATCTGAGAGAAATGAACTTCAGGGAGTCAAGGTTTATTTTGGCTCCTGGGTTTAGAGGTCTCCCTCTTGGTTGCTTGACCTAGTTGATTTTACGTCTGAGTGAAAGGCATTATATCACTGTGGAAGGACATAGTGGGGGAAATCTTCCACTTCACAGAAGCCTCCCCTCCAAACCCACTAATATATCAGTCCATAATTGGATCAATCTGTCCATGAACTCAGCGCCTTCATGGTCTGATCACCTCCCAAAGGCCATATCTCTGAAAACTGCTACCTTGGGGAGGGGTCAAGTCTATACAGAAGCATTTGTTGGAGATATACAGATGAAAAAATCTGAACTATTATGTAAAAGTTAGGCTTAAAGATGGAAATTCCAAGAGCTTGGGGGAAATCCTTTGGATACCAGTTGAGGGCAATGGTGTGCCAAAGCGAG